GCCCAAACTTACACTGAGAAAAAAATAAACCATATCATTTTTGTTTCAAGCTAAAGTACGTACTTTAAACTGATTTATTTTTGGAGATTTTATCGTTTGAGTACGATTTATTTTTCTATCATGCTTGATACAATTTTCTAGACGACACCATTCTACGATCGATCAAACAGACTTATGTTTATGTTATGTTAGTCGAAAGTCTTATGTAAGACAATTTAAAGACTGTAGGGAAAATAATTCTAATTCGGTAACAAAGTTCTGTTGAATAATCTTTTTAATATGGTTAGACAGTTTTGCCAATCTGCTGTGTGTAAGTAAATTTTTGATAACCGCAGATTAATGCGGAATAAAATATTACAAATTGAAGTGAAATTAATGTTTTAAGAACACATCTACCGTCGTTGATTGCAGTTCATCAACTTAAGCTTTTATTTAACGAAAAATTACACACATCAACAATTTTTGCGATTGTCAAAATTTTCTATGCATTTGACAAAAATTTCAAGAGCCTCATGAGCTACTGAAATTTTATTCACCTCATAGCTGTCAAAAATTTGTTCGGCGCGAACTTTGTTACCGATTCTCACACGCTCTCAGGCACGAAATACTTGCAAGGCCAAGCTCCCTTGCCAACTGTCACCGTGAAAAGCTCTTTCGACAGAAAGCACTTGTATACTTACTATTTTGCTCGCGCTGCTCCAACAGTCACAATGGCCGAGTGGGCAAAGCACTGATGCACCATTTGAGAGATCCGGGGTCAGGTGCTTGGGTAGCGGATTTTTAATATTTTCTTTTTTAATTTGAGTTTTAGATTTTATTGTTTCGAAAAGAAAAGACATATATGTACATTTTAAGTTGAGTACATTTTCGAAAGTAACTTTATTTATATTTTTTTATTAAATGTATAGGTTTTATGGTTTTAAAATCTTTTTTTTTTATTTTCAGTTTGTAATTTATGAAAACCTTTTTTCTTATCCTTTATTTTAATATTTTCTTTTTAATTTTCTTATAATTTAATTTTCTTTTAACTTTTAGATTTTATTGTTTTTAAAAGAAAAATATATTTTTTTAATTTCAATTCTAATTCTATTAGGAACCAGTTAATTTATTTTTTAGTTTTTTTAATTTGATTTTTGGATCCTATATTATTTTAAAAGTGAAAAAAAAAATATTTCATTTAATGTTTAGGAACCTATTTTAATTATTTTTCTTTTCTCCTGATTGTTATTATTTTCTCTTTAATTTAATTTTCTTTTAATTATTACATTTTATTGTTTTAAAAAAGCAAAATTATTCAATAATCATTTAATTTTTAGAAACTTATTTTATTTTTTTATTTAATTGTCTTTTAATTGTTAGTCTTTGTTTAGGCGACTAATACCATCAAGTGCCTAATGGTATGCTACACCCCAAGCAACTGGTACCAAACCGGATATAAAGCACGTTTTGGCTTGAATAAAGTTTTGCGTAAATAAATTCATCCCGGCTCTGCCCTCTTAATCTATTAAATAGTCTTTATTCTTTTAAAAATAAAAATATATATGTTTTAATTTCATAATATTTTTAGATAGCTTAGTGCCAAGTAAGTTAGCAGATCTGTTAAATAGTCTTTCAAAAGCCAGTAAAGAGCTTTAAAGATAGTTGCGAGAAGTGCGAATTGTCTCACAGAAGACTTTTTTCTTTCGAAAAGCTGTGGTATGTGAGATAATTGTCAGAATTCCCTATGAATTTGTTTAATAAAAACATTTTTTGTTCAAAAAATTCAAATCGCTAACATGGAAAAATCAAAATGTATTCGCTTAGAAAAAATCATGTTACTTTCTTTTTTTAGTGTAGTAGAGAAGGCATCATTCTTGCCAAAAAAAAAAACACATCCTTTTAGGCTTGGCCATATGTGGATGAAGCAGACGAAGTTAAATGTCTACTGGAAAAACAAGTAGCTTCTTTGCTGGCACCTGCAGTTTGACTTAAAAGTTCGTAAGTTCGCTTGCTGTTATAACAAAGCGAAACAATTATGTATCAAGTACCAGTAGATTTAATTTCTCCTACCTCAAAAAGAAGAGCGGCATTTGCTTTGTTGTACTATACCTGCATCCATGGATAATCTTTCGTTTTATAAAGCAATTTTACCAAAAAGCCCAACATTTCTCTTCCTTGTAGGCATGCTCTCATGATCGATTCGCGCAGTTAATTTTTCGTGTAAAGTTCATCTCTGTAATCATCGTCATTACCAATATTCTGTGAGTTCATTGCGGCGTATACCTTTTGGTGCTGCTTTGAAAAGTTAGAGGTGAAACATACATACATATTCTGTGTAAAAAAAAACTTTGAGCAACTAGCTGATGGGTATTTTCATTTCGTTCCAATGGCCGATTGATTTCCAACGCGCACGTCAAACGAGCTTCAGGCGTTATTTAACCAAAATACCATACACTTTTTTGTTTTCATTTTTGTATTGCAACTTCAGTTACTGCGCGCTGAGGAACTTTCACTCGAGTTGCACACAGAAAAGTTTCAAGTCAAAGTAAAGTCAAAACTTTTGCATGATTGATGATGTTAACGTATTTCATTTTTTTGATGAGTTCGTGTGTGGAGATCTATTTTTACCATTCAAAGCAGATTTATTTACATTGGTATGTATGTATATATGTATTTAGGTAAGGTGAAATTAGTAAAGAACGTAGAACTTATACTTAAACGCTGTCTCTATATGCAGAATTTTGCCAGTGTTGCTTACTACGGTATTGCCATTCATCAATGCCTTTTCATAAACTTACCTTTTCAACTACAATTTCTCGTGCTATAGTAGATGCTAGTTACATATAAACTACTTATTTTCAACAAAAAACCTCATTCGATAGTAACTGATAGAAACTGACGAAGTGGCAACCATCTATGGAAGGAAAAAATCAGCTGATACGGAAAAATCTAAATTCCGCAGATTTCTGCGCTACGGGCTACAACTACAGAAAAACTCTCCGGTGTTGAGTTTTCATTTACATGGCGCTCTGGTAACACAGATCGTGTCAGCTGACTCGGGTTTACGTACCGATATTTTTACGTTCTTGACTAATTTTACCTTAAGTCTGAGGGAATCTTCTCGTAGGGATTACAATAGACTTCAACGGCTCTAGTTGGTATTGGTAGTGCCCTTGAGTTTCGAAATTCGAGAAATTCGAAAAACTTAGCGGCAGCATTTTGTTCAAACTTCACCACTTTGTTTGCATTTTTTAAACAATGTATATTTTTTTTTTGCAAATGGCTTAATTCGATAGCTTATTTTCCAGGCTTTCCAACGATATTTTATTTGTATTGGGCATGCCAAAATGACTACAAGTTTTTCATAACAGGACGCACTCGGGTCCGCCTTGCATTTTTGTCGGCAATAACACAAGTTCACAGAAATTAAAAAATTCTCCGACCAGTGACATTTTTATATGCATTCTAATGTAAAATTTCCCGCTGAATCCGAATAAGAAATTAAAATGTAAGAGAGTAGAACAGCTTTTGAGATATAACCGAATTTTGGGTTTTAGAGAACTGAAAAAAGCAGGCACCGAAACTAACAGTTATTTTTTTTTAAGTCACCTTGTTCAAATATTTATATTAAAGTAATTTCCTGATAATAAATAAACGGCTTATCCAAATTAAGCCAGTTTGGCATCAAATGAAAGAGGAACAAACTAGCTTTAAAACGGAAATCCATCTATTGGAAAATATAAATAAAAAATGTTATTTAATTGTCATACAACAAATCCTGGGTAAGGTATATCAATTTCTTTTCTATTAAATTATAAAAAAATATATATTTGATATCAAATTTGTTGAATTTGGATAAGCGGTTTATTATCAGGTAATTACTTTTACTTCAAACTTAAAAATATTTGGCCACGGTGACTTAAAAAAAGTACCTGTTTAGAAAAAAGTCCACTCATTTAATTGCATTTTCTTTGGATGCAGTTGTCACACCGCGACATTTTTTTACAAATTTGTATGAAGAATTTTGCGCTTGATTCGAATACGAATTCGGCCAGCCCTAGAACCCAGTCGTCCCCAGGCAAAACCGTAAGGTATGTGGTAAATTATGCTAAGGACTTGGGGCAATCTTCCTTGCCCAACTACAAGCTACAAGCAGCTACATAACGACATTATGTGCCCTCTGCTTTATCAGATTTTTGCAGCCTGCCTAATTCTAACTTACATACCGTACAAGTGGGCAAAGGCGAAAGTGGCCTTTCCGCCAAAAGGAGGCAGGGTTGGTCATGTGAAACCGAAAGATTTCAGGGCTACCAACTTCACTTCGTGTCTTCTAAAAACTCTTAAGACGCTTTTTGATGAATATATATGGCGAAATCATATCAACGATGGGAAAAGGATTGACCATAAAGGAATAGATGCTGGGAGCTTTCCTTGATATGGACTTCAGACGATTATCGGGATTTACAGCGATGCCTTTTAAGTTTTCGTACGGCAGTGGTTCCATTTTCGATGAATCACTTTCATGGGTGTCATCACTCGTGGTTTCTACTTGGTCATTTTATTTTCTTCATATTCTTCACTCGATGAAAGCTACGATAAAAGTTGTATTATGAAATTCGTTGTGGCGTCAAGTCATCTACATAAACATTTATTTGGCCTTTAAAAACTTTACGACATAATACGGCACTTAGGACACCTTTTGAACCACCCATATGTAAGGTTTTAAAACTATTACTCTTTTTTTCTTCCACAAAACTTATTTATACATAGCTTGCATTTGATTTTAAATTGCCATTTTGTGCGGCGCCGCAATAATACCGCTTTTCCTAAATAACCCGCTGCGAAGAAACTAATTTGTTTATCTGAAAGAATTAACACTTTATTGACCAATTAACAAATTTAATATGCGAGCATTTATATCCGTAAAGGTCGTGGATAGTAAATATAAATATTTGCAATTTTTCTTGCTTAATAAACCTCCCTTCCAGTATAAGTATTATTACTTACAATAAAATGCATAATTTCCGTAATAATTCAATTCTTTATTTCACTCACTACACTGATCGGATTTTACTCTCTCACCAACCAGCTACTTTAGTTCCACAACTCTTATTTTCGCATTTCTTTTATCTCTTCTTCACAAAGTTTTCTCTTTCATTTATTTTTTAGCCTCTTTCGCCTTCTTGTTCGCCTCGATTCGCTCTCTAACAAAACTGCCCAGCAAATCAGCACCATCTTGATTATTTTTCTGATAGTATGGCAACAGTGACAAACGTTTTAGCCATGCGCTAAGCTTTGGGAATTTCTCTTCAACGATTGGTGCAAAGATCACCGCGCTGGAAACGGACGCCACAGCGCACAAATCGGCGATGGTCAAGTGCTCACCACACAAGTACGGCGCCTGGGAGAGACATTTCTCCAAACCATCGTAGGCCAATTGCATATAAACGATTTTTTGTTGTTCAATTTCATCGGCACCAAAATAAATAACCGGTTCGACGATAAGGCGAACGCGTGGGAATAAATGCCCAGCATCGAAGTAGAGACGGGTGTCCACTTCTCTGCGCTTTGCCTGGTCTTTTGGGTAGAGCGTGTCATCTGACGAGTATTTATCCGCAAGATAACCATTAATAACGTGCGAATCACTAACAATGGTACCGTTATCGTCCAACACAGGTATCGTATGTTGTGGGTTGAGTTTTAGAAATTCTGGTGTTAAATGATCGCCCTCTTTCAGATTCATCGGCCTGCAAGATAGATTGAGAAATTTGTTGATATACATAAGTATGTACATTAGGGTGGTCCAAAAAAGTAAAGTCGAAGATTTAATGCTCTCACTCCCTAGGATTGTTCTATACCGAAAAAATATACCCGTATTTTTGAAATCAAAATATATTTAATAGTGGCTCAAAACATTCAAAGTTTTCCATGCATATTATATGGGAAAAGGCAACTTTACATATAAATGGTAGAGAGTTCTTGAAAATCAATATTTTTCGATAGGAAAGCTCAGGTTCTCTTCAGCAGATTCCCAATAATAATACCCAATATTTATTTAACCATTTTTTAATACTGATGATTTTTTATTTATTGATATTATTGAAAAATATTGTTTTTAAACAGTCTATACCATTTCTAAGAAAAGTTGTTTTTTTTTCAGCGACGTCTAAATATTTTTTTATTTCAAAATAAAAAATAGTGGTATATTTCTTCACTATATAACAATCCTAGGTGGTGAGAGCATTAAAGTTAAGATTTTACTTCTTTTTTTTACCACCCTAATGTACATACTTACATATGCATGTACATTAGTTTTCCATTGAGCATGGTGCCGGCTTTTTAGATTATACATACAAATAATAAGTGTGAGAAAACTTACCGCAAATCTAATTCCACCCCGACAGCGGCGGCTGTCAAAAGTACCGCACGACTTGGTGGGCTGCGTGGCGAGTAATACAAAACTGGTTTTGCTGACATTTTTATTTTGTTGTCTAAATGATTGGTGAAAATTTATGAAATAAAAATTAAATTAAAGAATTTAGCAACTTTGTATGTATATCATAATTATGTAAATTATTATCTAAGATGCAGATAGCACCTGCTATATCGACTTGATATCATGCACTTAATTATATGTATTTGTTTTTGTTTTTTTTAGCATTGTTAATTCTTGCATACTTCAACTCGAGTGCGATCCCTGTCTATATATTATTTACATATGTACCAAATATGTATACAAATCCACCACTTCACACTGATATTACAAAAGGAGTCACATGAAAATTTTGCATATAATAAATTCTCTCTACGTACACAAATAAATGTACGTTTGCAAAAAAAAATAGATAATTAATAATCGGTAGCAAGCTTGCGTCAACCAATTAAATTTACATTTATGAAATCAAGTACACACCTTAACTGTTTGCTGTTCGCTCTGCAACTGAGCCATAGCCCAGTCGAACCAGTACTTTTATAATCGTTTTGTAAAAATAAAGGGTGATTCATATAATGCTTTTTATGTATATGTTATTTTTACAATGGCAGCTCTTTCTCGCTGGTAAAATAGAAATAGATCGAATTTGGCTACAAGTGTAGCTCTGTCGCCGCAAAAAAAAAAAAATTATCTGCAAACTTATTTCCAAAATCAGTATTGTAAAAACTATATTTTCTTATGAATCTCATTTTCATCTAGGTGGCTATTTTAACAAGTAAAACTGCCGCATCTGTGATAGTTTGGCACGGATTTAGGAGCGGTGGCCTCATTTGCCCGTTTTTTTGCAAATGCTTTTGGAAACATTTCGGTCAAAGGTGAGCTCTGCAGACGATAAACGGTCTTTTATGGTCGAAAATTGAAAATATGGTCTAGAACAATCTTAGGTTTCAGCAAAATTGCGTGCAATGCCACACAATTTATCTGTTGTGCAATGAAGTGAAGGACCGATCTTAAGGCGAATATCGAGCAAGCCGTTCCTAAGTGCAGAGTCAGAAACCTTCACCAAAATCTTGGAAAACTGGGTTAGCAGAATGCGCTTCTGCGAAGCCAGCCGAGTCAGCCGCGTAAATGAAATCGCGTTCCATTAATAATGGAAATGTTTTCTTTTTTTTTTGTACACTTTGTCGAATTTTTAGAAATGTGGATCACCCTGTATATCTTATCGTCTCTCATTCAACTGTTGATTTTCATGAAGATTTCGTCATTTGTAGAGAGGTGTTTGCTTATATCGGTATACATATATACGTGCATATGAATATGCAAAAGATAATTTTAATACTCGCTCGTAGTGTTGCCATTTTTATTAAATTTATTGATTTCAAGACGAAATTTAGTAAATGGTTAAAAACATTGGAAGCCAAAACTTAATAATATAATTCAGTGTCATCAAAAATGTATATCATGTCGCCTGTAGTTGTTCAGTGAAAAATTGTCCATGGAAAGAAAATGCTTCAGTATTTTTGTAAAGAAAACAAGTGAATATTTTTTACTATACTTAAGCTAGCACTGTTATGTATCAGAAAGAGAGCTTAATTGTCATCTCTACAAAGAAGAATATAACTAAACATTCATGAAAAATATTCACATACTCACATATATAATACTGACTTGCCGCATTAGTTATTCTAAACAATTCTGAACAACGGGTGAATAGAGACAAATAACTTTCCGTTAGAGAAAAAGGTATTTACTCCAATAGTTTTTCCTAATTGAGGGTGTCAAAATATTCGAATTTTTGAATTAATGAAAAACTAAGAAAGAAATCATGTCCAATCCAAGAACTCTGCCTACGTCAAATCAAATACATTAATCGAAAGGATAAATATACCGTACTGTTGAGAAAGAAATTTTTACATAATTGCAGTGGCAAGTACTACGACGCGACTTATCACTTGCGCGAAATCGATTTGTAGATTCAATTTTTTATTTATTTTTTGTGTGAAATATGAGCAGAAAATAGTGTTACTCATAGTAATAGCGTTACTCACATCGTTTTCAACAAAATCGCATATGTAAATTGCTGTTAAATTTTCTAAAAAGCGATAAAATCGCTTTTAATGTTTTAGGTGATTTTAAATCGCTTACAAAATCTTCTGCTTAGTTATAAATAATCCAACAGAAATCAACTCAATTTTTGCGAACATTTTCCGCAAAAAATATGAATCTGCCACTCTGCTCTAGCCTGTATTACTTCGTCAAAAATTAAAAATAAAAAACCTCATCCTTCCACATAACAGTCACCTCTTCAATGATTTAATTACTAATTTGTTTGTGCGAAATGCTAATCCAAATGCAATGTTTTGTGTGAGAGCAAAAGGGCATATTTCGTTTTGAAATATTTGAAAATTCATAAACTCAATTTGCATTTTAATTAAATTGGTGTTTAGTATGGCGCAAAATCAAATTGTAAAGGATCTTCGTAGCGAGAAAGAAACTTCGAAATTTGTGGCGACGGCGAAAGTAATCTGAAAAGTCAAACAGCTTTAAATTTGTAAATAAAGACGGTTGACTTCGCCATCAACAAAACACGGTGGCAGAAGCGATGGTTTTGGAAAAGTAAAATTGAATTTGTCGGTAAAATATTGCTTGCATAATTAAATTCTGTGCGATATACATACGTACTGTGACAAATTACTGCAAAATAAGGCAGCTAAACTGAGCAAAATAATTCAGTTTCATTCGGAATATGCCTCCTACTCACATACCTATTCATAGAGAAACATTGTGTCTGTATTTGCAATTTTGCGAAAAGCATTATGATTTTCTTTTAACACCACACTGTTGTAATCCGCTTCCATTATTGCCTTTTATAGTTTATTATGTAATTTATGATATTTTGACTTGTCAGCTAATGGCGAACTGGGGGAAATTCCGTAAATTTCAAAATAATTATTGGCAATTTGCGTACACATTTTGAATGTAAATCGTATCACAAGATCAGCCGCTGTAAGTATATATGCGTATATAAAGCGAAAACAGCAGAGCGAGAGACCCGTATGAATATTCCGGCAATAAAAAACTTAACTGAGTTGGTACGAACGCACGCTTTGATAACAGAGAACGATCTGGAAATATCGCAAAAACCAAAAATTGTTGAAAATGAAAAGAAATATTTATACTCATACAAACTTAAATACATAGATTGCCGCTTAAACAATATATTAGTGCTTGACCATCGATAGCTTAATTTCTATGAAAGTTTCCAAATATGTAGTATTTGCCTAAAAGTAGGTGCATTTGTTTTTTACCAAATTGATATCTACCTCATTTAATGAAATCGGATAACATTTGTCGAAGCTATGCAATTAAAGTAGAAATGTCAACTCTATTTTCGATTTTATCGTAAGCGGCGATTTTACATACAGAAGAGTTGTTATTTTATTTACGCCGAAATTTTTTTTTTTTTTTTAAATTCTAGTGTTCCTGAGAAGGAAAAAGAAAGTTCTGCAAAATCACGCCGAAAAAGAAACATTTTATTCAGAAAAATTTAAGAAGTTAAATTTAAAAAATATAAAACAAAAACTAAGACTGTCCTGAGTAGTTTTTCAATAATTCTGGAGTTCTTGAAAAGGAAAAAAAGTTCTGGATATTCGTACAAACGTTTTGTTTATTAATTTTGTAGCCAAAATGCAAATAAAACACTGTTTTGGTTCTAGAGTTCCCAAAAAAGACAAAAGGTTCTAAAAAATTACGCCGAACAAAATGCAAAAAGTCGAAAAATTTGAACGTTTCGAAAAAACAAAAATTCTGAGTAGCTTTTCAATAGTTCCGGGGCTCCCCAAAAGAAATCTAAGTTCAGAAAAATCTAACAAAAAAATTTTTTTTTCGAAAAAGTTAACTTTTTGAAAAAAAAATATAAAAAATTAAACTGTTTAGAATAGCTTTTCAATAGTTCTACAGTCACTGAAAGGGAAAAAATGTTCTGCGAAATTACGCCGAAAAAAAATTTAAAAGTCGAGAAAGTTGAATGTTTGAAAAAAATTAAAATTAAAACTGTTCTGAGTAGCTTTTCAATAGTTCTCGAGTTCCTGAGAAGGAAAAAGAAAGTTCTGCGCTGAAAAAAAATCAAACAACTTAAATTTTTCAAAAAAAAAATAAAACTCTCCTGAGTAGCTTTTCAGAAGTTCCAGAGTTTCTTAAAAGTAATCAAAGTTCAGTAGAATCAAATAAAAAAAACATTTTTTTCGAAAAGATAAACTTTAAAAAAAAAAATAACGCTTAGGGTTATGAAAACGAATAGCTTTTAAAATTACGCAACTTTTAAAATTAGCAGCCAAAGTGCAATCTGTAAGTATTTTTGATTTGTTTAAAAAATTACGGAACTGCTCTTATACAATTTAAAAAGTTCCACATGAAATTTCGGAAGCTACTTATACTACCAAAGGAACGAACTGCCGTAGATTTAATTGTGTCTGTTTTTCGGTTTGGTTTTTTAACTCTCTAATAAGTAATTTAAATGGAAAATTACTTTATTTTCTGTTGATTTCTATATAAAATGCAAACAATTAAAATAATTTCTCACTTAAATTGCTTTCGTGAAATTGGTTGTAAATGACAAAAGAACAAATTTTCGGCGTGGCTTCAAAGAAATGATTTATTTCCACAAAAGAATAGTATGCAATGTGTACATACAAATAAGTAAAATATACATATATGTATTGGCAAGTTTCTACACTAAGAAAAAGTTCGAAGAAACTTTTTGAAACTTAAACAATAAAACTTATTCATTAAAGGTCTTTTCAAAACGTTAAATACACCCAATTAAAAATGCATTCCCCTCGCTGAGGAATGTTCTTTAGTGCTACAAAATCTTTAAGTAACCATTTTCCGAAATGATGTTTAATTTCAATTATACTTAAGTCTTCTTTGTTCATACTTAATGCAAACCTAAGCGTTGAAATCAACTCACACTCTGATGTAAGCCACCATCAAATGTCGCCCTCAAAACCTAAATGTTTTATGAAATGACGGCTAATTAATCGATTACGAAAATGGCTTTTAAAATATTCATAACTACCTACCTAATCCCCAATAGGCCCAATAGAGGACAAATCGGTTATGCAAACTTTGTGCTTACCCTTTTAAGCTCGGTATCTGCCCCATCGCGTGGCGCGTAATTACAGTGTGACTAAATTAAATAAGCTTTCGCCTTAATAACTATAACAAAGCCTTTAAAAGCCATTCCTTTTACACACACACACACAATGACGCTTTCGAGCGCAATGAATATGTATGCTGACTTCAAGTTTT